TGTTCTGATGTGACAATGAAGCACTTTTCGATGTTGAAATATCTTTTCATACAATAAATTAACATTGCTTAAGGTTGCAATGCAAATAGGAGAGGATTTTACTTCAACGAATTTAAAAGTTACTAATCTCGTGTTGTTGTAATTAGAACATTTGGTGAACCTTATGGAAGTTATTGTAATGAATAATCATCTTGATTTTTTATATAGAATTTCTGGTTCTGAAACTGACTATCTCGTTTTTGAAGAAAATAAGCAGCGACAGTGTCTTCTGTTTTTGATCGCTGCATCTACTTAGTACCGCAACAGTTCTCCTTTTATCTTTCACTTTTCCATCTGCTCAAAATTCTGCGAAAGCTGATACTATAAAAAAAAAAGTAAAAAATCAGAAGCAATCGGGAAAAATCTTAAACATCAGCTCCTAAATTCAAAAGGTTTTATACCAGAAGAATAGGTTTGATAATGAGAAGACTCCTGGTCAAATTAGAAGATTTGGCAATCATGATTCCTGCATTGGTATAGTGTGCATGAATCACACCTGAATCAATCACATTTGTACAGCTTGGAAGTGGCTAATATCTGCAACTAGAACAATAGGACTTAGATTTTTTACAGACGGAATTTTTCTTAATTCAATCTCTTCTAAAATTTCTTGAAAAGATTATATTTTCTTATAAACCCAATCTCCTAAAATGATGAATTTATCAAATATTCCATATTCGAAAAAATGATTATGAACAATTTATATAAACTGAAAAGTTCAGTGTGGTAGATTTTTTTACATAAACACTAAATAGATGAACAAACCATTCTTCAATATCGCGCTAATTTACTTATAGATTTTTATGGAAAAAATCACACTAAACTATGAGTTAGCCTTTATTCACTTCTCATTTTTGCGAAAATTAGGAAATGAGATCCCTTATTCATATGTAAAAGCAAGTCTAATATTATTTGACTCATGAGATAATTTAATAAGAATTTTTCATACAAGACTATTGGTATTGATTTTATCTTTAATATCTTATTATTTATGACAGGATTGAATTATGTCATATTGAAATCAAAACTACGGAACAAAAACTATTCTATAGTCTTGTTTCTTTTTTTTCCTTCTGGTGAGAATGTATACGTACAAATATGTGAAATAGGCTTATACTGAACGCCCTCTTTCTATTGTAGAGACTAAGTATAATATATACTCAATGGCAAAAAAGTGTGTGTGTAAATTATCTCAACTATTTGAAGGGGTAATAATAATGATCGAAGCAAGTCAGCCAAACATATAAGCATAAGACTTCAGACAGACCGATCTAATTCAAAGTGGATAAAGAAAGGGTGTGAGTGTGGGTATGGTTCTAGGGGTTTGGATGTAGGTCTGTGTGTGTGTTATTTAAGAAAGAACTACATTCACATCCGTACTGTTTGACAATATGTTAAGTTTCTTAATTCATGCATATCTTTTTTTGACTGATGTCTGTAGCTAATAAGAAGAAAAATAATAGAAACTATGGAAATGATTTTCTTCACTTTCATTAAAGAGAATATAATTTGAATTAAACTCAAGATAATATTTGTTGTATATTTCCATATAAAGAAATCATCCAATGAAATATAAAATCTGACCTTTCAAAAGGAAAAATATGTGGAATATACACATACACACAATAATTATTATTATTATTATTATTGTTTATTTTCTGACACACCAATTTTAATTATTATTGAGTATTTTTTATTAATTCATTGTATTTATCCATGGCTATTGAAGTTTTACTATATGCTTCTTGTAATTTACGTTCACCTTCATTTTGAACATCTGGTTTTTCTCGAAGACTATCACTAAATGATTTTTGCCACTGTCGATTTTCTTTCGTAAGTCGTTCAAATTCTTGCTTATAATCTAATGTTAAACGTTGAAGACGAATACGTTCTTTTGCTGTTTGTTCCCATTCAGATGATAATGAAGCTACAAGTTGTTCATGTTGACATTCTAACTGATTTGTTATATCATTATATCTCGATCGAAGTTGTGTAATTTGATCATCAATTGATAAAGTTACTATCGGTGAACCTGTGTTCATAGTTTGATTATCAATATCAGATGCAACTGAAGTTGAAGAAAGTTCAGCAGAAATAGAATGTGATCTAAATATTAGTCAAATCAATGTCAATATCATAAAATATTTCTTATACTTTTGTTGAAATTTTATTCTAAGTCGAACTTGTTCTTCATCACTACATTTTTCAATTTCAACTGGTTGATTTTTAATAATATGAGGTCTTGAAAGACAACATATATCAACAGGATCATAATCATCAAATTGAACTAGAACAGTTTTATCATCAAGTCTTTCAAAATATTCAATTTTACCACCAGCTGGTGTTAAATATTCAACAATTGCTTTATCATCAGGTAATATTTCATCATTCTTTTCTGATTCACTACGTATCAGTATTTTCTTAACGGTAAGAAATGCTTCGTGTGGATATTTTCGCGTAATTGGCAAACAACGTCGTACAAATAGCTGACAATCACCCATAACAAATGGTCGTGCAGCCATTACATAATCAACACTATCTGATTTATCAAAAACTATAAATACATATGGATGAGATAAGAAAACAGATGAATCTCTTGAAATACGACGTTTTAAAAATAGTTTTCTAATAGTACCAAACGGTTCAAAGAATGCAGATACGTCTTTAGTATTAATGCCATATGGTAAATTTCCAACACGAACTTGATTAAGAAAATATTCTACTGGTTGATCATAATCATCTGCCATTTATAAAGAAAAATCAATCTAGAATATTTTATTACGAAACTATTTTTTTTTTGAAAGATACAAAGAGTATATTGATTATACTTCGTCTCATTAAATCAAATCTATCATTAAGAAAAATTTTGTACTTTGACATGATGTTTATCTATTTTTAATTACATCATTGTATGTGTAATTTGTATAAAATTATTCATTGAAAAATTAATTACTTCAGTGAATCATTAGACAAAAAACAGATGTTTCTTAAAGCAATTCTTCTATAGAAGCTATTTACTTATTATTTTTGATAGGATTGAAAGAGGGGAGTCTGTGTTTTTTCTTCTTCAGCAATCATGAATCATGAATAGATCAACACAAAAAGAGATGTAACTATTGAGTTTAATCATTCTTACAAATTATTATTAATGCATCACGTAATAAGACGTAAAGCTTTTTTTTCTTGAGTCAATCACGTGACACTCTGTCCGCTCTACACTGCAACGTCATATTTGAGCTTCGAAGAAGGCACAATATACGTATATATTTAACATAATGGGTATGATTTTTTTTTCCTTGTTTCTTTTTTCTTTTCTCTTTCATTTTCATTGGCAACGATGACGTGTATGTGTTCGAGTTGTATCTATTAAAATTTACGTGTAGCTGTCGGGAATGTATGCCTTTGTTATTGGTTATTTAAAATGATTTATCTTTTAATGATTCCTATATATTTTTCATTTATGTTGTTATATTTACTCATATTTGAACTCTTTATTCACTATCATCCTACTGAAATATATATATATATATTCGTTTAGACTTGCCTTGTTATTATCATTATTTCTTTCGAAGAAACACATACACCGATGGATAGCAGTGGAGTTCAAGGACTTAAAGGCAGTTGGGACTATGTATGTATAAAATATATTTATTAAAATATTTTATATTCGTATTCATAGGTTGATGGTGAAAATTTTGATGAATATATGAAAGAGATTGGTGTTGGATGGGCATTACGTATGACTGCTAAAGGAATTAAACCTCGTCTTACTATCAGCGAATCAGGCGGCAAATGGACTGTACGATCAGAAAGTGCAATTAAAACGGTTACTTATGAATTTACACCTGGTATTGAATTTGATGAAACAACACCTGATGGACGTGAAGTTAAAGTTAGTTATATTTTTCATTGAGATTATTTACTTATGTTTTGTTGTTTATTAGTCCACTATTAACTTTGAAGGTAATAAATGGATTCATACGTCAATTGATAAAAATGGTAAAAAATCAGTTGTAATCCGTCATGTTGACGATATAGGGCAACAAATGATTGTAAGTTTCTTCTCATATTTCTTTTTTGGTTAATGGTTTAGTTTTTTTTTGAAATATAGAACATGGAATCTGGTTCTGTTAAAGCGCGTCGTTGGTACAAACGTGCTGAATAGATAATCTATCGTCTTATTCTTAAATAACAAAATAAACTATGTCTTTTTTTTTGTATTCGTTATCAAAAAATTATATGAAAAGAAACTTATTGATGACCATTGAAGAACCTTCTATGCATGAATGAATTTCAAAAGCGAGAGAGAAAGAGAAAAAGAAATAATCACATAACTATATTCACATTCAATGACATGAACAAAAAGAAAAAGAACTATTATGTTAAGTTTTATAAAAGCGTATAGTCAAAAAATGTACGTTAAGAATAAAAAAAAATACATAGAATAAGTTATTAAAAATGATGAACTGATAATATAACTTAGAGTGCGACATAGATAACCATTGTTAGAAGCTTAAATATAATCTTTATCATGACAAGTTATTTAACGTATTGAGATAAAATTAGATCGTAAATATTTTTTTTATTCTGTATATTGATTAAGAAATATTAGAACAACATCTATAAATATTTACTTAATAAAACAAAAATTTATATATATTGAAATCGAAAACAGAATCAACCTCTTTATTCAGACATTCTTACATAGAAAAAAACACTAGTTAAAAAAAAAAAGCTTGTTTTGAAAAATATACAACGTATTGATCAGTATTTTAATGAAAGTTGATTTCAAATTTGTTTTTTTTTTCTTCATTTCATTTATACGACTAGTAACTTGCAAGTAGTTTATATTTGTAAAACTAACTAGAAATGATCATATCAGTTTTGATACAAAATTTTAATATGAAATTGAATATAATGAATTTTTTTTGAAACGTTTTCTTTGTTTTAAGAAATATAAATCATCAAAAAAAACAAAAAAAATTATCTTTTGTTAAGAATTGATTACTCTTCAGATGAAGTAATTTTCTCTACTGTATGGTACCAAAAATTATCAATATCTTGCAGCTGAAGTTTAAAATAATACAGAAGTGCTTTAATAAGATTTTGTCACGTAACAGTCTGTAAAAGAGGCTGAAATTTATCCCATACAATTAGACTAATCTAATTAATTGAACATGTTCTTTTTTCTGTTTAAGAATACTCTCTAATATTAATTATTATTTTTCTTAAAATAAATCATATATTACTGTCTATTACAGTTTTTGTAATTCAAAACAATTATGGCCATATTCCGTTACAAAAATCATTTTGGAAAACTAATTCTTTTGATCTAAACCTCAAAATAATTCTATCAAATCAAATAAAAAAATATAAAGAGTCACAGCTTGTTCTGAACTAGAACGACTCTAAATAGGGTTATAATGTACGTTTGATAATGTAGGAAATAAGTATATTAAAAAAAATAAGTGTTCACAATGTGGAAGAAATAAAATAAAAACAGGTATTTTCGAAAAAGAATGCCTATGAAGAAAATTTTATTTTCCAATAATAAACTAATTACGATCATTTTTGAATAACCGTAATGAATTATAACATACATATATATTTATAAGATTATTTTCACATGATGGTTAACTTGTTAATTAAGTTATTTAATTTTAAAAACTACAGTGCTGCTTACAATTGTAAGCACGAGATATTCGTTTTTTGTTTTCTTTGCTATCGAGTATCTAACTCAAAGCTCACATAATAATTTGAATAACCAATGAAGTTCTATATCAAAGATACTATATATATCAACGTTTCATAGTTGAACCATTTGAGGAAGTTTTCAAATCTCACAAAACTTTGTGAAAGTTCATTTTTAACAATACTATATGAAAGAATAAAAAATTCTAAACAACATGACGGATTGCAGCAATTTTTAACGAGCTTCGATTACGATGCTATAAACATCACACAAAAGCAAAATTTATCAAAAAATCGTATTTTTTTGGTTTTTCATGATGCTTGTAACATCATATGTAAATCTCGTGAAAAGCACTGTAATCCTTCATGTTATACAGAATATTGTGCCCTTTCATACAACGTTTTTCAAAATGAACTCTTGAGACGTCTTTTGAAAGCTTAGAATTACCTTTTTGGGTTTCTTAAAAAAATTCCCAACATTAGTATAACTATGAAACGTTGATATATAGTGTATCAGATGGAGAACTTTATTAGTTATCGACGTCATTATTTAGACTTGAGTTAGGTACTTCCCATGCCATCAAATTTGTAACACTTTTGGAGCTTAATCGGCGATTTTTCACTCAACAGTAAGTGTTACTATATAAAAATAAATATTTTTTTTTTCGTCTATTTAGATCATCTGATCGTGTCAATAACCAGCAAGTATTATGTCATTGAAAAAAAAACTTATATTATATTATTTATTGTGGATGGAGAAAAAAATTATTTCTCTCTTCTCATTTACGAAAAACATGGATGAGCATGATAGTAAACAGCGGTGGTATACATTGTCAAGACACAGTCATAGTCGTAGATGCAAATAGTAAGACCAGATTGGACCATGGAAAATATTGTTTGAATAATTACGATATAATCGTCGATTTTTGTGTGATGGTGATCACATGTGTTCACATCACAGTAAAAAAAATCGAAAATATCTTTGTCTTATAATTTTAAATAGTATGAAAGAAAGATCTTTACTTTTGCGAAATTTTGTTTTTAATAATATGATCTAATTTAAAATTTAATCTTAATTTTAATTGTTTTTTTTTTCAGCATCATCAAGAGAAAATTATATTTTCTTAAAGACGACATTCTATAAAAAGAAAAAAGAAAACAATGAAGAATTATTCAAAACTTGTCCTATCTTCCGTTAAATTGCATGAATGAACATGAATAATTACGTCAAGAAAAATTTGTTTGAAATTAAACTCGAATACTCTTATATTTATTCCTACTTTCATTTTCTAATTACGTTCTAAATCGATATTATTCATGGGTTCATTAAAAAAGTATATTCCTGATAAGCCAAACAAAATAAAATAGATATCGACACTAGATTTCCGTTATATCTAATTCTCAATAGAATATATTTTTTAAAAGTCTTACTCAGCACTGGCAACAGGAGAAAAAGTACACTATATAAATAATTTTTAACAGCAGACGGAGAGTGTGGTGTGGATGAATTTCAGAAGCAGCTGAGTATCACGTCTCATATGCCCCCATAAATCACGTTTGTGACATTTTTCATACCAAAATAAATGTGTGCTGAAAAAAATTGATGATTAACAATACAGTATCATTCTAATCGACGAAAGATCGTAATAAATCGATAAAAAAGTATATCGTACTTACGTTTTTTAATTTTTTTAATGATTTTCCTAGCAATTCTATATTTAATAATACTTGTGCAAGATTGTTTTTAAAAGACAAAATAATTTCATGTTAGTTGAAGAAAGCAAATATTCATTGGAGAAATTCTCGCCAATTAAACGTATTCCTATTCATTATTGGGTTTTTTGAGAATTTTAAACTAAAAAATAATTATTTAAAGCCTCAAATCTACTTGCATAATCTAAATTTGAAATTAAAATTAAGAAATATGATTAGTGTTTCTACGTAGCAACACCAATCATATTTCTTAAGTCAGTGATAAGTCTTAAAGTCTGTTTGAGTTAAGAAAAATTTAAATGTCTATTCCAAATGATAAATAAATATTACCATTAATGAATTCATCACCATTCAGAAATCGATGACAATCAAATAGAGTTTTATTAAAATTATTATTGCTTATATTTGCTCAACAGTTCTTACAGCAAAAACAAATCGCATATATAAAATAAGAGAAAATGATTATCAGTTATCTATTTTCTCTCTTGGAGAGAAGAATTCTTCATACTGTCTTTTGCCTTGGATACGTGTTAAGCAGATTACTTCATAGCGTTGTCTTTCTGTTAATCATCTTAGTATGACGCCATATTGGTCATTAACAGCAGATATATCTCAAATTTGTTATGATTTGTTCGATATTATAAATTTTCATGGTAATACACGTTTTGAACATTATACTTTTTATGCAAGATTTTAATCTTAAAATGAGTCAGCTAAAATTGAAATTAGTAAAGAGATTTTTCTTGCCATTTAATTGTTTGTATTTTTCTGTGAGATAGAGGAATTTGGATGATGGACGTGTATCATCATTGTCATACGATAAAGATCTTGTTTGATCTAATGACTATAGTTTCTTTTAATTTCTATTGCTGTTCACCAATTAATATTGTTATGAATGAAAAAAAATACTACATCAACAATATGAATGGACAAATCTGAAGATAAAGTAATCAGGCAATGATCTTCTACAGTAAAGAATTTCTAGTGTTTCATAAGATCGTTTGACTATGTTATTATAAATCGTTATTAAGACATTGTGATTATTCTTTTCTTTTAATTATACTTAGACAACGCATTCTGTTTTCTTTTTCTAACGAAAACATCCGGAGTAGGACCTCTTTTTATTTGTTTTTTTTTTTTTATTTTCGGGCACGAAAAAAACAAAAAATAAAACGTTTGGAAACGCGAAATGAAATTATTTAGCTTAGTGTATATTATGTTTAGGAATATATGAAATAAGCAAAATTTCAAAAATCAGAAATTTCATTATCAAGCGACGAAAATCAATCATATTGTACAGTAGGAGTATTCAGGTTTCATATGAAGAAACTGATTTTGTTCGTTAAAAACACAAGGACAATTTACCATAAATGAAGAATCATATAGATAATTTAACAATCAATCGACAGTGTTCATTAGCAAAATCTCAGCAGACACTTATAGAGTTCTTATAGTAAGCAGTTTTACTAGGGCTGCTTTTCCCATTCATTCTGACTTCGATCAACTGATTGCGATAGACTTATTACTTTTCGGTTTACAATAACAACAAAAAATTTCGGATGCCAGTAAAACATAAATGTCTTTCGAAAAAAATGCGATTCACAATAAATCCTAAGAACAAGTTTTCGAACTCGTTCATTTCATTTTGTGAATAATTTTCTTCTGTAAATTTCATGGATTGTATGATAATCTATGTTTTGTATATCAAAATGAGCTATATCTTTGATATTATTATTTTTTTCCATCTAAAATTCGTTTTAG